TAACAATAATATTTTTTAATATGGCATATAACAACCTAATCATGATATATCACATGTTTTTGTACATGACGTGTAACAACCTAACCATGATATGTAACATATTTTTATATATAGTGTATAACAAACTAACCATGACGTGTAACAACCTAATTATAACGTGTAACATGTTTTTGTATATCGCATATAACAACCTAACAATGATATGTCACATGGTTTTGTACAGGGCATGTAAAAACCTAACCATGACTTGTCATATGTTTTTGTACATGGCGTATAACAATCTAACCATGGCGTGTCACATGTTTATGTACATAGTATGTAACAATCTAATCATAGCGTGTCATATGGTTTTGTATATAGCGTATAACAACCTAACCATAACTTGATAAAAATACCCTTCAAACTATTTTAAATAAATTGAATCATTTATTACAATTTTTTCTTATTTGTGTTTCTGATTTCCCTCTCTCCATCCCACTTCTTCTAATTTTATCGATTTCTCTTTTTGGCATTTGTCTGTTATGCTCTCGATTTCTCTCTCTCGCTTTTTCAGATTTCTCTTTCTTGCACTTTCAAGACACCAAGCGATGGTTTTGATGTGTTTAGGGCGACTATTTGGGAAATTTAATTTTTAGATATTTTGGATAAAACTAAAATGATAGATGTTTGAAATAGCTTTTAATTGGATCAATACAAGACTTAGATACTAATAAACTCAAAATTTTGAAATTTATAAACCTAAGTTTTCAAAGAAAAATTTTTCGATTTTTAGTCGAAATAGGTGCTTTAGATAAGAAAGTTTGCATTTTGATTTATGAAAACATGTTAGAAACACTTTAATTGGTGTCAAATTGTCAAAAAAACAAAAAAAAATGAAGAGAGTTGAGAAGATTTGAAGTTTAGTTCATAAGTAATAACAACACTTTAGGTATTAAACTATAATAAAATGTTTTTGAATATGGCATATAATAATAATATTTTTTAATATGATATGTAACAACCTAATCATGATATATCACATATTTTTGTACATGACGTGTAACAACCTAACCATGATATGTAACATATTTTTATATATACCGTATAACAAACTAACAATGACGTGTAACAACCTAATTATAACGTGTAACATGTTTTTGTACATTGCGTATAACAACCTAACAATGATATGTGACATGGTTTTGTACAGGGCATGTAATAATCTAACCATGACTTATCATATGTTTTTGTAGATGGAGTATAACATGTTTTTATACATGGTGTGTAACATCATGACGTGTAATTTTATATATTAAGGGTAATTTTATCCAACTTGATTAAAAATAGTTAAAATTATAAAAAATGTTATTTTTGAAAATATTTTTTCTTTAAGGTTTTTTTTCAAAATGCGTTTTTTCTTTTGAACTTTTCAAACAAGTTCAAGCCCAACACTAGGACGCTAATGTTGTCATGATCATAATTATTAAATCGAGATATGTATTATGTATAAAAATCTTATTTTTCAGTATTGAGCATCGTATCATAAGATATAGTAAAAAAATTTTAAATTAATTATAAATAATTTCATAGTTGTAAAATAAAAGAATTAAAAACTATTATAATTTTTAACAAAATTGAAGATTATAGGATGCAAATTGAAAAGATGATTTTTTTTAATTTAAACTTTTAACATATTCTTTAATGATATAATTTTTAAATAAAATAGATATTTTTATATTAATTTATTTATTAAAAAATAAAAACATTTATAATGTTAAAATTAAAAGGGAATTCAATTTTTTTAGCATTTTTTTGTTGAAAATCTAAAGATTGAAACTCATAAAAAATCATTTTTCACTTTTCAACTAAAAAATTAATTAAAAAAATAATTTGTTGATAATTAATTAGAATAAAATATATTTTTTATTAATTTATTAATTAAAAAATAAAAACATTGTCATATTAAAATTAAAAGGGAATTTTCTGTTTTTTAGTATTTTTTCCTTTACAATCTAAAGATTGAAACTCATAAAAAAATAATTTTTCATGTTTCAACCCAAAAAAAAATAAAAAATAATTTTTTTATAATTAATTAAAATAAAATATATATTTTTATATTAATTATTAATTAAAAATAAAAACATTTATCATGTTAAAATTAAAAGGGAATTTGATTTTTTTTGTTTAAAATCTAAAGATTGAAACCCGTAAAAAATAATATTTTTAATAATTAATTAGAATTAAGCTTATAAAAAAATGTGTTGTCTATGTCTTACGATACGCCCTGTATCGTATGATACACTTTTAATATTTGATCAAATTCAATACAACTATAAATATGTATAATTTTCTACTAATATCATGAAATATCATACGATACATATCACATATCATACAATTATGATAACTATAATCATGATCTATAGTTGTAAGAATTGGGTTTATCATCATTTCATTATCCTTGCAACTTAGCTCATATTCATTTGAAAATTGAGAACCAACAGTCTATCATAACCTATCTAATACATAAAAGTTTAACTAGGGCGTAAGGAAACTACAAATCTTATATAGATTCTGTCTTATAAAGAAACCCATAGAGTAAATAAACCCTTTCATTGATCCGAATTTAATTTGATTCAGATATTTCTTATGGAACTCACATCAATAAAGATTTAGATTTATTTTAAAACCACTTATTATTAGTTCATGTTTTCAATCTAAAAAAACATATTCAATAAATAAAAAAAATACTTTTATTTATAAATATAAAAATTATCTCATCTCTTATTAAGATGAAAGTTGTTATACAAAACTTCAATTAAACAAATTACAACTGAAAAATACTATTTTGCTTTCGGTGTTTAGGCGCTAAGAGCCGCGACCTTAAGAAAACAATGTTGGAGGGAAGTTAAATCTTAAAATTAAACATTTTCATGGACTGCGATTATATGTGGACCGTAGCCAGGTAGCCAGCCTTATCGAGGATTACATGGGCTTTGGTTTTGGGTGTTTCCACCAAAAGGGTTTTTTTTGGGTACGAAAGGACAAAATTGTTGAACAGTCCAAAAGTTGGATCTCCAACCTGTACCTGAAGCAAATTATATTCCTAATTATCTTTTTGTGAGCTTAATTTTATTAAGAACATTAACAAGATAAATAAACTACTAGATTGAATAAAACTCTTTCCATAAAGTATACAATGTAACAAATTAAGCACGGTTAAAAAATTTGAACCTTCCACTACATAAACTAATGTCCTAGAATTCAAATGCTAGAAGCTGTCCACAATCACAGGTTGTGTCCAAATAATAAAACAAGGAGAAAAAGTTCAAA